AAAGTAGACTAATAAAACCGAATAACCGAATAAATTGGCCTTCATTACATAAGGACGTCCTTTCTTTATTTTAGTCAAGTAATCTTAAATAGCCTTTTGAAAAGGCTGAAGGATCTGAAAAGTACAAGAGACAATATTGTAAAGAATTTTATCATCACAAAAGTTGCGAATCGAAAAGTTACAACAATGTTAACATCGACTTGGATTTAGACTTTCAAAGGCTTGAAGTAATTATCTCATAAGTTAGGCTTGCAGCTAGGGCTACCATCTTTTCTGAATTGTCTTTAAATTTCCTTAGCTTAGAGATGCAGTCGTTCAAATATTTTAGTGACTCTTAACTTCGTGCGAGTCGCTGCGCAGAACAAAATATTAGATGTAGCGGAGCATTGGGGATGTGGGGGAAGGGCACTGCGCAGCGCGCCGATGACCTTGGGCCGCCAAGAAAATTGAAAAGAACTATAGAATATAGGCATAGAGAGAAAAATGCGTTATATTATCACGGCTTACTTTATTACTTGCGACGACTATCCAGTCAGTATCCATAGCCATTATTATAGGCATTGAAGTTATTTTTATTATTTATCAAATAAATACAATCAGGCAAGAGCTTGGCAAGGCAAATCAGGTTTGACATTGATGTTTCGGTTCTGAGTCGCTAGATGGCGTTGATAAGTATGTGGAATGTCGCTTATTTTATTCGGGAATACATTTATTGTAAGTAAGCAGCCCTACTCGTAAGTGACAGAAGCCAGTTGTAATAATCCTTTTGCAGGTGCTAGTCTATACAGAGATCTTTTATTGCGTTAACGTTAATTAGCTTAAAGAAACAGTTGTTTTATGATGTTTGTATATTATACCAGAGCAGGCAACGAAGTAAACATATTGAGTGATGGACAAATATTACAAGTTAAAATAAAATAATCATACGTTTGTTTATACCAATCCAACTGAGAATTTCAATAAATGTAGTTATATTTTAGGCCGGTAGGTGGCGTTAGTAACATGCACGGTTACTTAGGAGTCTCAGTAGGGAGTAATTTTACTACGCCATGTATGGTTTGGTACTCTGAGGAAATAACGCTTTATGTACGTCTATTAAAATAATTGTTTTATAATAAAGAGATTTGTAATAACTTTTAATTACAAACTTTAATTACTTGTCATCAGATTTGATATTAAATTAATTTATTTGCAATAAAACTTTTTAAAAAGAGATCCATCACCGCGGCCCGGCTGTAAAGCCGAAAACAAATATGGCGTCGCCTCGGCTTAAGGATCAAAGTTTAAGTAATTAAGATGTAACTTAACAGCGCTCCGGTTATATTTAAAGGCATTCTTGAATCTAATATCCGTTAACGGGAAGCTATGAAAACCTTGACTGCATTTTTTATACAAAAACATTTTCTTCAATTTTTCCCTGAAAACATGGCTTCATTATATACCTTAACCAACACAAAAAGAAACTACTTTTTTTATTATATATCATAAGGTGGCAAACGAGCGAGCGGCCACCTGAAATCGCTGAAATAGCGAAGTGACCGTTGCCCATAGACATACGCAATTGCATATGCGTTGCCTACCTTTAATCGGAGAACAGGATGCACAGAAAGAAAATATTTTCCCTTTCCATGCATCCTCTCATCCGGGAAGTCCTCTTCTACTTCCCATCCTTTCCTTATAAGAAATATGACGGGAAGGGAAAGTGGACTAATTTTGGCCTCCGGGACGCACACTCATCAGACGAAACGCGGAATTGCTTCCACTTCACACCTGTCTTCTGTGTGGTCGTGGTATTTCACCGGGCGAGCCGGGCCGATTCGTGCGAAGATGTTATAGCTGGCTCTACCACTGTTTACTTTCTTACAAACATTTATCCATCCATTTAAACATTGACATTTATAATATTAGTAAGATTCTTTACAATAGTTTATGGATATGACAAATAAATAATAGCCAAACAGATCTTGTTTTATACAAATATATTAAAAATGAATTAATTTCCGATATTATAAACAGAAAAGTGTTGACCAATAATATATTTTCCTTATTGAAATTCTCAAAACGTCAATTTAAACGTCACTCTATTTAATTAATTTTATCTGTGAAATTATTTGCAATACTCGCCAAGAGTAAATTAAACTTAATTTACGTTTATAACGACTTTCCAAAATAAGTTAACATCACTGTTGAAACTGTCTTAACTGTGTTAGATTAGATGAGAATTAATTATTAGTTAAAATTAATTATACTCGTTAAAAGAATAATAATAAAATGTACAGAAATATAAAAAAATGATTGCATTCATAGAGATAACTTAAGTAAATATTGGCATCCAAGCACATAAGTTTTTAAAAATAGATATCGTTACATCTAGACATTACAAAAACAATTCTATGAAAACATCCAAATGTTCATCTAGTTGCAGCGAGTCGAAATAAACAGAGACTGCGTATATATGTGTGGAAGACTGAATATTGATGTTTAGTTACGCGTTGATATATTCTCGCACTGTTTATCTATACTGATATATAAAAACGGCTAAACACTCACGTATATTCGTCCGGTGGCGGCACCGACTAGTTTCGAGCCCATCGGGGATCTTCATCAGGATGAGTGGTACTGGTATTATTTCGCGGACGCGGCCCGTCGCTCACTCTATGTTTATCTATGTATTTTTTTGTATTATTTTAATTTGTCATTGTTATGTGTTATTTACTGTTATTATATAATAAAAAATGTCATCGTGTAAACTATTATGTAAAGTGTATATAGTGTCAAATTGGTTTTATACTTACTTTTAAATAAATTTAAAAAAATCTTTGTTACAAAATTAATGGGTAAATGTAGATTTCCCAATAAGCGTATTAGAATAAAAAGGAATACTCTGAAAGCAACTTATCTATTTAACGGGATCCTAAACTAACAGTCTTATAGGATGCTGTCCTTTATCCCAAACATTGAATAAAGACAAAATCGTCTTATATAGACCGCGGCCTCTGACATAAATTGATTATCAAGTTACAAAGTACATTTGAACTATACCATTTTTTTTTAAATCTTACTTCTTACTCATATTATAAATGCAAATGTTTAGATGCATGGATGGATGGATGTTTGTTTGAAGGTATCTCCAAAACGGCTGAACGGATCTCGATTAAATTTGTCATACATATAGAACATAGTCTGGAAGAACACATAGACTAATTATGTTTTTTTTAAATTCCGCGCTGACGGAGTCGCGGGCGGTAGCTAGTGATAAATGAACCAAGGTTTACAACAAGAATAGCTCTTAATTGTTGCACATAAATATACCTAAATATTTGAGTTTTCACTGCCGAGACATACGCAATAAACATTGACTCTCTCTTTATCTTTTAATCGGATAAAACTTCATGATTTACGATGACACTGGCTGTCATCCACGACTACGTCCACGCGGAATTAAAAAGAAAACTCAGTTCTTCCAGGGTATTTTCTATATTTATGCCAAATTTCATCGAGATCCATTTAGTCGTTCTACAGATATCTGTTAACAATTATTCACCCATCCATTCATCCATCCAAACATTTGCATTTATAATATTAGTAAGTCTAAAATAACTGAAATAGAAAAAACTGCTTCGCTTTCGGAAAAAACTTTGAAAAATATGTCAAATAAAACTCCTCAACCCAGGCGATAAGAATCTAGGTTTCTCGTAAAATATAAATAAAAATATCTGGAGTACATTAATATAATACAAGTTCAATGACAAAATCTAAAGGTTTCTTTGTCCGAACGAAATCCGAAGCCATAAACATCATACCGCAGAAAATTACGACCGGTCTTTGAGATTCTAGGTCCAAAAGTAGATCACTAAAATTGTTTTATGTCTATTATCAGCCATATTTTTAGACAAACATAAAAAAACTATTCTTATTTAATAACGCTTTCATACTTTAACTATTGGTTTTTGACCTGTAAATTAAATATCTACTAATTTTCTAGTTATTTTCCTATTTCTGTATTTCTCATTGAGACTTTTTATTTCGCAGATAAACTTTCCGAGTGCTTTCATCGACTTCGTCAGCGGAAAATAGAAAGCCAGACGTTCCAAAGATCACATGGAACAATCTCAGCCTTGCGGACAAGACTTATGTCAAGACAAAAGGACGAAAATAATATTTTTTTTATTATTATCAGCAGCGTAAATAAATTACGTGTACGATATATTATTTTTATTTCTTAACAAACATACAGATACTCCAATTTTATTAATATATATAAATTAATTTAATAATATTTTAATGTACATATAGGAACCATAGAACCCTTTTCACATTTCTTATGGATTAAATTGAAGGCTAAGTAGCTTCCGTCATAAACATAAGATCTCTCACAAAGGCACGTAAGAGCGCGTCATTAAAGCATACCAACTTACTTTCTTATCTACCTGCATTAGGTGTGCTTAGGATAAACGATTCGGGTCTATGTGAAATAATTTACTTTGATGATCGCTAAAGAAATCCTTATTTCCACAAAAGAAAGGTAATGTAGAGTTAGTAGTGTATAACAAGATGGCAAATGAACAAGCAGTCACTTAAATTCGCCGAAATAGCGAAGCAACCACTGCCCATAATCATCCGCAAACGCCGAGGCTTTTTATCTTTCATCGATGGAGCGACGCACTATTAAATTTCTCCTGAATATGCGTCCCTTTTTCGTAAAATCCACTACACCTTAGGGAAAGAAAGTCTTTCCTTACAAGAATAAGATTCGGTAGGAAAAGAGGACTAAAATTAGGCCAATGGCACGCTTTCTATCTAACTGAAAATTGTCATTTGTCTGTAGCTACACATATTTTGTGTAACCACTGATAACTGGATTGCTAGACTAACAATTATACAAAAAAAAATGAAAACGGGCTTTTTTGATACTGCACCCAAGACAAAGAAGTCTTATCCACACCGCTGTCGTCCAGCAAAATTGTTTGTGCAATTGCATGATATAAACTTTCACTTACCGTAAATCCAATGCCGACGGTTGCAGAGAAGTTACCCGGCTGGAATTTACCCGTCTCAAACTGCACGAGTAGGGAAGTCTTGCCGACGCCGCTATCGCCCAACAAGATCGTCTGTGCAAAAAACATCATATTTGTATATTTGTATTTACAAAAAGATTCGTATATAATATATATTATTTCTATAATAATTTATTTAATTAAAACTCACAATGCTAGTAGACAAAAGTCAAAGAGAAATTAAAAAAATCTTTCTTACGCTAAGCTTTTCTTGTTATTTCCGGTTTGTTGGTTATAAGTGATGACTGATATTTTCCTTGTAAAGTTAACATTTTTAATTTGTAATTGCAATCGCCAGTTAAATAGATTATTTTTGGTTAGGTTGAGTATATCTATATAAATAAAAGCATAAATGAGAGAAATGTGTCATGGTAGCGTAGTGGAAAAAGGGTTTACCGTCAAGCAGGAAACAGAATAGGCATATGGGAGAATGATAGCAATCAGTAGACTCTCTGTGGTGGTGTGTAATTTTCATACATGAATACCTTGTGAATAGGTAGGTCTTCATCAAGCAGCGAGCGCGGTATATCAGTAGGGGGCCGGTAGTCCGGGTAACCAGTAGGGGAGGGGGTGCTGCGGGGCGCAGGGGCACGCAGCGTGTCCTCTTCGAACACGTCGTCACTCATGCTGTCGTCTGTTGTCACTTGCTGGAAACAATAACCTTTTAAAAGCCGGGATATAATGAACCATTAAGTTAACCTTTGAACTGCTGGAGTCTATTAAATTACAAAAATTTTCGAAGCTCATGTAAACAGCTAAAACCAAAGGCATCAAACCAACGAGACGTTGAGTATGTAATAATACATAATCTACCTTTAATAGATAGAGGAAATGAAATATCCAAAAAAGCATTTTTACGTCAGTTTCGCGGTAAATGGAATCCGGAGTCCCTTCCTTAATATGTGGCTTCACGATTATATTTCAAGCTCGAGTCTTCATTTTATTAAACAAATGCCTTTAATTAAACTCATATAAAGCTTGATTCCCTTTTCATATGTCTATAATTATGGATTACCGGCCGTAGATATGAAAGTAATAAGGGTTATGAAGGGCAACTTTAATGAAAGTCATAACATTTGTATTGGAAGATATAACTTGTTGCTGCGCAATAAATCTTATCATGAAAACAGATCTAGAACCTTATCTTAACCTTAAAACTTAAGAATAGTCTTAAGAATTTATGTAGAAGATAAAACTATAGTAGGTACCTATTATAAAAAAGATTGTAGAAATTTTACTCAGTTGCAGTCCTTTTGTAGAGTCTTCAAACTAAAACTACATTAAGGGTTACACTTAGAGCTTATTATGACTTTCAGTCATCATCATCATCAGCTCACTATACGTCCCAAACACGGGGCTCAGAGCCTACCATAAGTTAAGGATGATTAGGCCATAGTCAACCACGCTGACCAAGTGCGGGTTGGTTGACTTCACTCATATCTTTAAATTTATTTAGGCGCCAAATTACATCGAAGAAACTCGTAATAACTTTGCAGATATTTTACTAAATACTATAATATTTTCAATTGTATTCAAATCTATTGATTTTAGTTCAAGTGTCAGTCCATTTTGAAAGCGTCTTTGTTTACCAAGCAATAAAGGGATGGGCTTCGTAAGTGTGGGGTGCAAACAACAATACTCTTTACGCCCCATTACTCGGGGACGTGTGTTCCTCTATCTGATGTCCCTTACTACAATAGCATAATGATATTCATCGTAACCCCGCAGTAACACGATGCATTGCCGCGGTCATGTCTTATCGCTTATTAATGCAAAAGTTACTACAAAATACAGACGAATTGATAACCTCCATGTTGTTGAAGACGTTTAAAATAAATAAAAAGATCTGAAAAAGTATTCGTAAAATCAAGACACAAATTTTTCTACAATTTAAAAAAAATATTGTAGAATTATATTCTAGAATATAGCTGCATTGGTGATGTGTGCGATGATGTTTTTTTTAAATTTGTTTTGGTGGTTATGAAGTAAAAAGCTTTCAGTCATCCTGAGTATATTCGAATTTGTAAGAGCGCCATCTATTGTTACGTCTCGGAATTGGGTCAGAATGTATCAGGAAACTTCTCGTTTTAGCGCCATTTGCACGATATTTCAGCAAGTTTAAACTGGATATTATAGATGTCCCATGATATATGAGTTTTAAATGTCGGACAATAATTTCTAGTATAACTTACCCTTCACCATTGCATTATTTCATGTAAATTTAATTGCCAGAATACTGGTACCAAAAATTATTGTCGTCCATAAAATTATCTTTAGAAAACTAACCGTTGAATTCGGAGTTCAAGAAAAAAGAGTGTTTTGTCAAAGATAAGAACAGGGATGACGATATATTTTAAATAGAGAATTTTGGTATCAAAAACCAGCGTAAAGATATCAATCTGATTTTGTAATTTGTACCAGAAAATCATGGTTATTAATGTTAAATAATTGTATTAAAAACAAATAACTGCGTGAATAAAAAAACATAAAAAAATCATCCCAATATAGTAATTTACATAAGCAATGTTTCTTGTTAAGCGTAACGTGACACAGACCTTAATTTACATATGCCGCGCCACACACGGACAATACGGCTTTATTTACATATACGTAATATAGAAACAAAGAGTCAATGGCGAATTAAAGTGATGTTATTGTACTAATATCGATATTTTATGAATTAATGTATTCAATTTGTTTTAATTAAAGAGGATTATGAGTTTCTTGAAAAGGAAAACCTCTCAATTTTTTTTTAACATTACTGTGTTACGATGTTTATTATTAAACAAAAATACGTCATTTCTTTGCTGATGTTACGTTATTTTGTTTACAATTATTATAACGATTATTTAATTAAATCAAAGCTGAAAGAAGAAAAAGTGCATAAAAGTAATTTCATGAAAACAAAATATGTCGAGATTATAAACAATAATCAACCTTATACAGAACAGGAGCAATAAGAAAAAATAAATGAAAACTAAAATATTCGACTTTTTAAAACTAAACATTTTTTATCGATAAAAATTCATCACTAGTTATTGTACTATGGGATTGTGTAAATGTGGGTCAATGTCGGTCTGCATTCAACTGGTGTACCTCCTCCCTTACTGCCCCCACTATCACCCTACACCTCCCACCTCCTACGTCAATACAATACGTCACCCACATAACTAATTGAACCTATTCAGAAGCTATTGATTTTTATTTAACTTTCTTGATTGCTTATCTAACGTTAATTTGTTTGCTCGTTTATCGTAATCAATTATATGAACTGTACTGTGAAAATATTGACTATAAATATAACTTATAAGCTTATAAAAATATTTTAATTTTGTCGTAACGGTTTTGGATTTTATAATTATTTTTGTAAAATAACTACAAAGTTATTATTTTATCTACAAAGATAGATATTTACATTTTATAAATTCCAATAGCAACTGAAGGTCAAACCTATTAGCGTTTTTTAAATAAACATTACGTCAAATTTCAAAAGCTCTTTTATTTTTATTGTCTGTTAATAATTAATTAAAACTATAAATCAAAATGGGCATTCATAAACGAGCTTTTTGATTAATAGATCATTTTCTAATAGTTTTCTTAAATAGACATTTGTTTTAATAAAATTAATTAGCGATGTAGATTAAGACAATCTTTATATTTTGACCCAGACACTTAGTATGTTAACACACTCTTACGAAACTGAAAAAATCAATGTTCAATACTTACGTTCATTTCTATTTAACAGTGATCGCCTTCGGAAACATTTAAACAACCTCGTGAACACACTATCATAAAATATCTTGCGATAAATGATCACGCAACATGTTTTCTACTTTCAATGGCACGGGCGTCACAAAATTCCAACACACGCGACTGAATATGACGAAAATTCAATTCCAAATTCGGCAATCACGCCCACATACCGTTTAATACAAATTATTACGAAAAAGCACAAGTCCACAATAATATTTCTTTTAGTGTATTATTTTATCACTAGAAAAGATATTCTGTGCTGAACGTAATGTCGAAATTTTGAGGTTATCTCGCGGATCAGTAGGAAAGACACATTGCGGAGAAAACGCTTTTAGGGTTGAATTTCCCTCGTACACAGCCTTGTATGTGTGTGTTTATCGCAATAAAAGTACCCTTGTGTACGAGAACTATGTACTTATTGATGTGTGCGTAAGGTCAACCAATGATACTGTACTGGTGTGCGTGAGAGCTATCATAAACGGAAATGAATTTCCCGGATTTATCTCAAGATATTTCTAACGATTTTTATTTCTATATGAACTTGCGTAATGTTTTAGTAGATAGTGTAATAATACTATTGTTTAAAATAGATATCCGGTATTATTATATTACACTAATAAATTGTAGATTTTTTGGATGTAATATATCTATATAGGCAACTTAAAGATCGCATCAATCGTAAACTAAACTGCTACATAGGTATTTGAGGTTAAAGGTATGAAATCCTATACAATCAGAGTATAATATTAATTTGTAAACAAAATATAAATTGGTAAAGCGTTTAAATGCAGTCCATTTTATCTTTTTAATAATTCATGGAAACTCTATCTCTTGTGAAGTAACATTTATAGAAATCGATTCGCAACTGAACTTCAGATGTTTGAACTACGTCATACCTTTTCAAATTAAAACAAGTTGAATTAAATTAAAACAAAGATTATTTTGTGATACGAAGTGATGACACCAAGAATGTAAATTAAAAACATTTATTTTAAACAACTTTTTTAATTGAATCTTCTTTAAAAATGATGCTGATGTGTAAAATCGAGATTACAAATGGTTTACAATTTGCAATTTTCAGTAAACAACTGATGATTTATTATTGACACTATGTTCTAGGAAATAGAGTTCAAAATCAACTAGCATCTTGCTAATTATAAACACAGGGATGAGTAAGGAGTATGAAAAGCAAATTATAGTAATTAGTGATGTTAGAAAGAGAAGAATGCTCGTTGGAGATTCCTTGTATATCATAGTGTACAATGACGTGACCTATCATTAAATCATATCTTTATTAAAAAAAACACTATGGTTGTTAATAATTTTTTTAATACATTATGATTGCAAATCTTTCCTATGTTCAAACTCTTACTAATTCATGTTTAAGTTAATTTTATTAGTTTTTTTTTATATTCGATCTTTATCTACATAACGCTACGAGTAATCATTCAAAAATTGTCTATGTGTTACTACGTTGCATTGCCATGCGCGTTACCTTTGCCCGACAATCGATGAAAACCTCATTTGTTGTTGTTTTATCTCGCTCACACGTTGTGCATCCCACTCACCTGTCAAGAGACGGTCGACGTCACAACTAGAGGACGTCACTCTTGCAAATCGTTTACATATATTCTCATAGATGGCGTTACTAGTCACAGTGGTAAGTTTTTTTTCTAATATTTCTTTGTTGAGACGCATGTCTGCGTCTATTAGTGTGACCGCTTTTAAGATTTAAGGATTTTGAGGAATTATGGAGTATCTACATAAATGTTCTTCTTATGGATGGATCATAGCAAATGCACCTATTTTTCGCAACATGTTCTTCCATTGTTGCATCGTAGCAAGAATTAAAAAAAAACATTGGTTTTCATCGGCTATACAAAATTGACATAGCAAAGACTTTTTTAATTTATATAAAAATCAATAACTTTTGTACTGCATAATTGTAATCAACATCAAAAAAGTATGAAAAACTCACGGCATCTGTGTTTAATTAAAATCTTTATTCTTATCGAAGTCGTAAATTGAAAAACGATTATTATTTTCTTCACAATAGCCGGAAGTACGGGCTGAACGCAGACGTTGCCGCAGGCACAAAAACCATCGTTAAAAAAATAAAAAAAAAACTACGAAACATCCGAGCGACCGCCTACCGCAGCCAAAAATAAACCACAAACACACCTTTACTAACATACAAACACATTCGAATTAACTTTACAAAGTAATTTAATACTTATTCCAATGCTATAAAGTTTAAATTACAAGCCACTACTCTAAAAAGTTCAATTCTTTATGACCAAGTTAAAACACTCCCGTGGTTACATGTCGGGAGTAGAAATTATTTCCTGAACAACCTCAAGTTAAACATCGGGTTTTAAATAATAAAACTCAAATCGATTTCAGGTCCCAACGTTCATTCAATTAGGAAATTTAACAAGCATAGGTCGAAGAACTTTTAATCTACACAATTTATACTCTTTTGTTAATAAGCTAGCTCTTCACCACGATCCCAAGCGAAGCTAAGTGATGATGTAGTCTAAGGATGGAAGGCTCTAGCTTAGTAAATATCTATTTACTCTACTGTTAAACAAGTTGTACTTGGAGAGAAAAACTGACGTCGCCAACTTGTTATAAATTCAAAAGTTACGACATACTTAAAATTACTTTCACACTTTATTCTGGATCCTTTATACATATTTAACCGCAGGATTTTAATCAATATTTCTAGGATTTCGGAGCAGGGCTGTCAACTATATTTTTCTACGTCATCTACTAAGCATCAAGGTGTGATGAAATCTTCCAAATGGTGAGAAGACGTCGATTTTTTAGTCGTTCACTCTGTTAATGTCTCTGTAATGCGTACATTTTCAATGTTGACATTTCAAAGCGAGTATTGGTTCAAATTAGCGTTACCAGGTATCCAGATAAATCCGAACATAGACTTTTTGATTATGTGTCGAGTCAAAAAAACGATGTCCTTGTTGTCCAGCTTTTGTAAGGTATTTTACATTTAGAACGGCCGTTGAAATCTAGGGCGTCATCCAGCCTTTGTACCCGAATGTTCGGCCCATTGGCTGGTCTATCCGACTATTATGTTGGCAAACTGGCAACCCTAGTTCTAATTTTTTAAAAAATGTAATAGACAGAGGCATAAGATTATTTCATGGAACCATTATATCACCAATCGGTTCAGTTATTACACCTAAAATCACTCTTCTCGCTCAACAAACTCAAAGTATAAAAGTAATAAATTAATTATTTGATTGTATGAAAGTTTAAATTTTTAAATATCGCCAAAACTACATCCACTCGTCGCTAGATGGCGTTAGCAGTTCTCAACATTGTTTACTTTGTCCAACCAGCGCATTGAGATAAAGGAATAAACAGTCGAACCTGGATAAGGGAGAATCCAAATACCTAATATAGCTTACTATTATACTTCTTAATTAAAACTGACATGCAGAGGCGGAGGAAGGCGTAGGCGAAGTGGGCGATCGCCCACGGCTTTGCGCACCGGGGGTCTACTCGCCTTTAAGTTATAACCATCTAAATATTGCCGTAATAAAATGTTTGAACTGACCTAACATCTATTTAATTTGCATGATTAAATAGAGTAAATAAACCTTACTGTTTGAATAACATTAGAAATCGAAAGACAAGATTTAACAAAAGATAGGCAAGACAACTTACCCAAAAAAATTTGCTCTTGCAATGGCGAACCATTGTCGACATGCAGAGCGTGAATTCTAATTGCAATAAAAAAACTCCTCATGCACATCATTAAAGCTACTAATCTTGGTATAATTTTCACTTATAAAAACAGACATTTAATGGAAAAAAGCTTTACAATCTGCTGAAAACTCCGTAAAAATTTATATAAAAACAGGACATGCGCCAATAAGCTATTTTTAAGAGTCTGCTTCACCTTTTAAATGTTTAATTATACCTAAATACCTAAACATCTATCAATTACCGTCTCAATCTATCTTATTTTTTTTACTTTCTTCTTGTTCTTCTAGTGCCTCTTCAGTCTTGAAGGTTGGCCGCTAACTTGGAATATTTGGTTCTGTCAAGCGCAAGGCGAAACAGTTCCTCTGCTGACCTAATCCCCGTCCACTCCCTAATATTACGTAGCCACGATTTTTTCCTACGTCCAGCGCGTCGCTTGCCCATCATTATCAACCGAAGTAACTTGTACCTGTCATGCCGCAGCACATGATCCAAGTATTCCACTTTACGCTTTTTGACGTCTGCATGAATTTTTACATTATAAGGAGGCAAACCAGCAAGCGGCCAGCAGAATTTGCCGAGATAGCAAAGCGACCGCTGCATATCCGCCACTGCAGATGCGTCGCCTACATTTAATTGACGTTATAAAAGTATCTTTTAATGTTTCGGTAAATGAAAACCACTTCCTACTTTCCTCTTTCCTTTAAAATACTTGCTTTTTGTAGAATTAGGATTAAGGTTTCAATCAAAATCTCAAATAATTAGAAAAAGATGTTTGGCAATGTATACAGTCCGGTTGTAATTATCGATGTAAACCCATAGTTTCAAACAGTACGTTTTCGGGACCAATCATTTCAAAGGCAGAAATTAGAATAAGTGAATGCCTGTGTTTTTGTCACATTGAAAGGACAGATGTTTTTAGAAGGCTTACAAGCTACTAGCAACTAACAAAGGCAATCGGCAAACTAGCCGATTTATAAAAAATATGTTTTTATAAATCGGCTCAACCGATTTGAGATGTGCTATGTAATTCGAATAGGTTTTTTCCCGTCGCATAAAATATTAAGTTAGGATCATAGTTTACAAGATTTACTTATCCGGCAAAACAATTTGTTCGCTGTCTGAAAATATTGACAAAAATATGTTGTAGCGTCGATTAAAAACAATGTATTTTGCGGTTATTTAGTATTTTATAAAATAGACTGAGTAAGTTATCCGTACTATTACACCGCCGCAAAGAATTAAGTTTTGATTAAGTAAAAACGTATAAACGTACGATATCCCTCTCATTTTGATAAATTTGCGATAACAATATGTATTTATACGTGTGTTTAGGCAATAAAAACTCTGGTAACAAGATCGACTTTGCTCCGCTATGCTTCGCGTGCCATTCATTGCTTGTTTGCTATCCCCTAGGATAGAAAAAAGGATGTAGAAATAACGAATACGAACCCATTCTCATCAGTAATTATCCTCCACTTATACTTTAAAAAGTTACCGTGTTTATATTAAAAAATTATGACACAAACTTATCACGTAAGTAAAAAAAACATCGATAACATTT